CATCTGTAGATTCAATATACTCGTAACTGTCTTCTAACAGCCATACAACATCTGTAGACTCAATATACTCGTAACTGTCTGCTAACAGCCAATTTATAGACTCAGTATACTCATAACTGTCTGCTAACAGCCATACAGCATCTGTAGACTCAATATACTCGTAACTGTCTCCTAACAGCCATACAGCATTTGTAGACTCGATATACTCGTAACTGTCTCCTAACAGCCATACAGCATTTGTAGACTCAATATACTCGTAGCTGTCTCCTAACAGCCATACAGCATCTGTTGATTCAGTACACTCGCAGATGTGTCATAACAACCATACAGCATCTGTTGACTCAATACACTCGCAGATGTGTCATAACAACCATACAGCATCTGTTGACTCAATACACTCGCAGATGTGTCATAACAACCATACAGCATCTATTGACTCAATACACTCGCAGATGTGTCATAACAACCATACAGCATCTGTTGACTCAATACACTCGCAGATGTGTTATGACAGCCATACAGCATCTGTTGACTCAATACACTCGTAGTTGTCTATAACTAGCAGTTTCACTGTTCTCGAACACGTTTTTGTTGTGTAACATTACAGACGCCGTAGCTCTGTTGCTGGACTATGAACCGTCTTTTCGCAAAGCTAACCGTGCATTTGTGGATGCCTGTATCCGAGGCCATAAAGAAGTCGTCCAGCTAATGTTAGATCACGGAATGTATCCCAGCCACGTCGATCCAGATCTTGGAACTTCTGGTCTGCACGAAGCCTGTAGATATTTAAGGTGCGGTATTCTTTGCTTACACATAGTTTCGTGAGTACTGCTAGCAAAATAACAAGAAAAACGTCTCTTGATCTATGCTTTTCACAGCTGTTATCGGCTTATGTTTTTTTTTCTCGATATTTATTAAAATGGCAGAAAAATTAGTTGGGGGCCACTTATTTGTAATATAAAAATTCAAGATGAATTCACAAATATGTCCGTGAAATATTGTTAATAATGGTTATAGATGCAAAGTTTTAAAAGTTTTAATTGATCTCTTTGTGTAAGATTTTGGACCAAATGTTATACTTCCGGGAATTAAGTTTCGGACCCAGGATATGTGGTGAACCAATCAGTGAATCAACAATGACGTCATGTTGCATAGGGTGGTTATAGTTGTGAACCCTACTTGTTTCTGGGATTCTTGTGTTCGTTTTTCTATGGCCTAGTTTTCAAATTATTTACTTGGTTTACTGATTTTCTTCAGTCTTCAGTTGTTCTAGTTCCGAAGGTCATCCTTATGATATAATTTCCTGTGATGGTTTTGTATTTAAATAAATCTGACTCATGGAACAATTGGAGATTAGCCTCAACCAAACATCTTTACTGTGACGTTGATCTTTGACCTCAGAAATCCTGTTTAAAATAGATAAATGAAGCATTGATAATAAGAAACAAATCTCGACTGAGTTTTTTTGTTGCTTGACAAGAATTTTAACAAACCGTAAAACAAAACACCCTGTTTTTGTGATACACTCTAAATTTTCTTTTTCTTTTACGCCAAGGTACGACGTCACTGCTCTACTAATACAATATGGCGGGGACCCAACAAAACTAAACAGCAATCAAGAGGTAAAGTAAAGCACACATTCAGTTTTTATATTTATCACGATTTATTTTTTATAACACTCTAGCCCCCCAGTGGCATAGCGGTATGTCTGCGGACTTACAACGCTAGAATCCGGGTTTCGATACCTGTGGTGGACAGAGCACAGATAGCCAATTGTGTAGCTTTGTGCTTAATTACAAACAAACAAACACTCTAATATTGATCAATATAATACGTTTCGAAGATGAACAGTCTGGCATGAAAAATTGTTGATTCTAATTTGGAAGACAAATAGACAAACACGAACCAATATTTCTATTATCTTTACTAAACTGTTACGGCAAATATTTCAGATCTTGGCGAGCGTTTAATGAAAAACTAATCTACATCTCAGTGTCAGATCTGGTTTTATTGGTGAGTGAAAACGGATGATATGTTGTTAGATATACATGATAAAGGCTTTAAAAACAAAATACCAATAAGAGTATTTTGACTTCAAATGATATAAAGGTGGAAACCAGTTATAACTATATGAATGAAATATTAGGAAGAATTATAATGGTTGGAGAGGCTTAAGTGGGTAATGAAGAAAAACTTTAATATAAGTTTAACATAACAGCAAATGTACAACGTTTCGACAAGGTTTTGGAAGAATTGTTTTTTAAAGATTCACACAAGTTTTTATCGGTTGTAGTTTGTTTGCAGTTAAGCTAAAAGCTACACAATGGGCTATCTGTGCCCTGCCCACCACGAGTATCGAAACCCGGTTTCTAACGTTGTAAATCCGCAGATATTCCGCTGTACCATTGGAGGCTTTTATCGGTTGTATATAGTAAAAGTTTTATTTATTTTTTTCACAACATTTCACTACCTGGCCCCATCAAGTGAGATACAAGAACTGAGGCTAACAAAAATTAAGTTAAAATTTTAAAATTAATTTCTGGTAGCCTCAGTTCTTAATCTCACCTGATGATGCCAGATACACAAAAATTCCGTTAGGCCTAAAACTTGTTATAAAAATGACATTAACTATAGATAGTTTTTCCTCCACATTCATCTTAATTTGTCCATTGCAGATTCAAAATGACGTTTAAACCACAACTTTTTAACACAAGAATGTCTGAATTTCGTTGGTTTTCGCAACATCCGGATTTCTGTAGAATATATGTTGTTTTTTCTTAAGTAAACATTGGCGTCTAGTATTTCTGAAGGTCTCAGTCTCAAATTAGTTTATGTTTCATTTTATTTGGAATTCATTACTCTTGATAAATAAGGCTTTTTTTTTTCAGACGCCAAAAACTATTTTGAAAAATTATCCATCAAATAAAACAGACCGTTTTCTAAAACTTCTTAACGGTAAGTAAATGTTCCTAATCTAGGCATGCGAATTAAATGTAGTTATTATACTAAATGAGAGTCTTAATTAGTATTATGGTTTTTGTCATGTGAATTAAATGAAATTATAAAATTATAAGTTAAGATTTGACGGAGAAAAAATTCAATATTAAATGAAGAGAGTTGTTGTTTTCTGTATATCTTGTCCATGCAAACATTAACTGATAGTGTTATAAAATATATTTGTCGTAACATTACAGAGACGAATCAATATGTTATGGTTGGCCTGTTTCTTTCACAAGTATTATTTCTTGTACAACAAAATTTTCCTTTTTTCCAGAGTGGAAGGATAAGCCGAAACTTAAGCCGAAATATCTTGATGTGATTTCAGCCAATGAAAAAGGTTGGTTTTATATAGATTATGGTTCGTTCCCCTATAAATATATTTTCTTTAAATGCTTTACTAATTTCTGGTTCAGGTAATATATTTTGTAAAAAGGGGTAATTAGGTCTTAGATTTGCTAATGATTTTCAATACAATTGCCACAGAATTTAACACGAAGTAATTAAAATTAGAATATTTTTTAATTATCTAAACACAGTCAAAAACATTTCCCAATGAATCAAATCACAATATGATCGTAAAATCAAAATCGGTATTTTTTCAGAAGTGTGATGACATAGCTCAATGGAGTGAATGATGAACAAATGAAAATTGAATTTTTGATGGATTAATACTGGTAAAATCAAATTTTAATTTCTGTATACCACAAAATGATTTCACTTTATTAAACTAGAATACACATTAGTTAGTTTGCTTCATCCTTAAAAATAGAATAATCCGTGTGTGTAATATTGTTTTTGTTTTTTAGGTCTTTATCCTTTATTGAAGACTGTACAGGAGTGGACTCTCTGTCATCCTAGCTACTGCAGCGTTTGGTCATCAGCTTACCCTCATACAAACCTACTTGATGGTAGGAAAATCTACTATAAAATCTCCTACCCTTGCCTCTGAAAACTTAAAAACTTTTTAAGATTGACAATTATATCGTTAAAGCTTCTTTTTTTTAGAAATTAAGAAATATTTTTGATATTTCCTTTAGTGCTATTAAAATAATAAATTTCTAATTTATTCGAACTTAGCGCAAGTACTAATTAAAACTCTTCCTGTAGTGGGTGCCATTTTAAGATTTAACGATAACTACTAACTTGGATATGGTAGCAATAGTCGAAATGTGGTAACATTTGAAGAAGAGTAATCATGACTTATTTAGGTTTGATGTTTTGCTACAAGTTGAGACAAAAAAAATTAAATTTTAGTTCCTAAACCAATTTTTAAACAAGATTTATCATTAGTCAATTGGGATAACGAGTGAAAAGGCAATGTGGTACAATGTTGGGAAAACTGAAAATGGATTTCTTTTTTTAATTCAAGACAGCCATGTTCCTAAAAAAAGAGAGAGAATACCAGGGAAGGTAATGCCTAATTGGCTTACTAAAGACACACAGAAAAAAATCGGGGATAAATTCCTTAAGTTTAAAAGATTGGAAGATATACAGAAATATGGGGAAATTAGGAATACAGTTAAAAAAGAAATTAGGGAAGCCCAAAGGGCTAGAAACAGTTGGCTGATAATATTAAAATTATCATATTTTTCAAATTCTATATAAATATAGATTCACTGTGTTGAGTAAAAACGCCATATATGGTTTTTTTTTCTTTGCAGAAATAGTTTGATAAAACTATCACCAGATCAGTTGTGATGACTATTTCTTACAATCAAAGCCACTTATTAACTTACAACCATAAATCGTTGGGCCGCCTGGTTGGGTCACCTGTTTTAACCATTATACATAACTATTATACAGTAGTGTGTTGTCTGTCAGTCAGTCAATATATATAGTGAAATGACATCACATAAGGGACGCTTAACATTGCAATTTGTACTGTCGGGGCGTCAATAAAACGTGCGCATGCCATAAATCACGGAAAGAATTATGCGCTCATTAGGCTACAACACAGCGTGATATATGAACTTCAAACGCAAGAAATGAGTATAACACATATATTCTAGTGAGTATAACACATTCAACTGATTTATTATATGACGAGTTGATATTTGTAAGAATTAGTCCTTAGGCTGGTCAGCAGTAGGTTTACAAACTCACAACGCTAAAATTCGGTATTCAATTCCCAGCGGTGGACAAAGCACTGATAGTTCATTGTATAGCTTTGCGCTAAAAAATACAACTTAGAACATTAAATCGTGAAACAGAAATTTCCGTGACCTTTTGAAACAGGTTGGTTTCCCTTACAGATGTGTTTCAAGTTTGTTTTTATTTTTAGCCTAATAAAACTAGTGTACCATAAGAAATAACTAACTTGCAAGGTTGAAAGGAAAGAGTTTTGCGCTCTAGAGGCCTAGTGTTGAGAATAATGTTACGTCTCCGTTCGTTAGCTAATTTTCCATAAAAATTCTTTCCGAAGAAACTTTACCGATATAAGTCCTTTCTTAAAATAAAACTGGTTTATTCTTTCGGAATACAACTTTGCGATACACTTAATTTCAACAGTCGCGCTATAACAAACACCATAATTCACAACGAACGTCTCACGTGCTCAACAATATTCTCTCTCCGCAGTTCAATTACACATTACCTTACGTTGCTTCTTGGCCGGTCTTATATATACAAGACTACCCCAATCTTGTAGTCTCCCGACATTTCATGAAGGTTCGAGAAGGAAGTGGCGTGATACAAGCGTCACGTGACCTGCGTTGTTGTAACAATAATATATTTTTTCAGACTGCACCTGGAAGCGAAACAATTCTAATTTACTTGTGTGTCAACTAAGATACTTTTCATCATTCTCCTGAATTCACGTGCCAGCACTAAATCTCTGCACGTGCTCTTTGTTGACAATATACCTGGGTTGGTACAAAAAATAAATAAATAAAAAGGAAATAAATGCTAGTTTTAACAGCCACCTGAACCTTTAAATTGACAAGATTAGGCGTTGAACGTTAGAATCACGAGCCATCTCTTTCCCAGCTATAGTGTGAGTATGTGGACTAGCCATCCATCCAGCTATGGTGTGAGTATTAGGACTAGCCATCCATCCACCTATAGTATGTGAGAATTAGGACTAGCCATCCATCCACCTATAGTATGTGAGAATTAGGACTAGCCGTCCATCCACCTATAGTATGTGAGTATTAGGACTAGCCGTCCATCCAGCTATAGTGTGAGTATGTGGACTAGCCATCCATCCAGCTATGGTGTGAGTATTAGGACTAGCCATCCATCCACCTATAGTATGTGAGAATTAGGACTAGCTATCCATCCAGCTATAATGTGTGAGTATTAGGACTAGCCATCTATCCAGCTATAGTATGTGAGTATTAGGACTAGACATTCATTTAGCTATAGTGTGTGAGTATTAGGACTAGCCATCCATCCAGCTATAGTATGAGTATTAGGACTAACCATCCATCCAGCTATAGTGGGTGAGTATTAGGACTAGCCATCCATCCAGCTATAGTATTAAGACTAGCCATTCATCCAACTATAGTGTATGAGTATCAGGACTAGCCATCCATCCAGCTATAGTATAGGACTAGTTATTCATCCAGCTATAGTATTAGGACTAGCCATCCATCCAGCTATAGTGTGTGAGTATTAGGACTAGCCATCCATTCAGCTGTAGTATTAAGACTAGTCATTCATCCAGCTATAGTGTGTGAATATCAGGACTAGCCATCCATCCAGCTATTGTATTAAGACTAGCCATAAATACAGCTATAGTATAAGGACTAGCCATCAATACAGCTATAGTATAAGGACTAACCATCCATCCAGCTATGGTGTGAGTATTAGGACTAGCCATCCATCCAGCTATAGTATCAGGACTAGCCATACATCCAGCTATAATATCAGGACTAGCCATCCGTCCAGCTATAGTACCAGGACCAGACATCCATCCAGCTATAGTATTAGAACTAGACATCCATACAGCTATAGTATTAGGACTAGCCATCCCTTAAAGGCAGAACAAATATAATAATACTTTTAGGCTTGAAACAACGTGTATAATTTTGGCGTGTTACATTTTTTTCAATTTGTTTCTTACATAAGTTTTTCTCCCTAGGGGATCCATCCTCTATCTGGATAACACCAAGTAACCAGTCCTCGTGGGTTGTATTTGACTTGGGTCGCTCCTTTACTTTGTCCGGTGTTGGTATTATTGGATGGTGAGTTATCAAGTGTTATTGTATTATACAAACAAACCTTACTCATTAAATAAAACGTCAGTTTCGTGCATCAAAGGATTATTTTCTACACATACAATTTGTTATTATAGTTTGTCGCTTTGTAACCCAACCATTTATTTGGGTGTCTCTGTCGTGTGTGTGTGGTTAAATATATATTGTCTCTGACACTCCAAACTGTGATTGATTCATGGACCAACCATAAATACAAATTATTTTTGGAACAAGAGCTAGGTTGAAAGTTGTGCATTGGTTACTGGAATAGGCGATAGTTTTTGTTGTTTTTTTCTGAAGCAATTATGATACGAATCGTAATAACAAAAAAATATGGAATGCATACTTCTAGAAATTTATAATCCTTTTTAGACTGAACATACGATTTTGATGAATTTCTGAACTAAGTAAGTTTACATAATTGTTCAAATTCAAATAAAAATATTTATCTTAATACAAGTGCTCTGGTCTAAGGTATGTTTCCTTTAATATAGCAACCTTTTTTTTGGGGGGGGGGTATATTATCATCTCGAGAAAATGAATTTAATAACTTTAATTTTTATCACTTAATCAAAGTGGCCCCCAAGTGGCTTAGCTGTAAGTCTGCAGACTTAAGAACCTAAAAATCGGGTTTCAATAGCCGAGGTCAGAAAGGCATAGATAGCCCAATGTGTAGATGTGTGATTAATAACAGTCAAACCAAGCCCTATCATAGTACAACAATGATGTTTGGAGTTTTAAGTGGTGTACTTTGATGATATTACCTAATAGTAGAGAATTTATAACAATTATAGTTTTTCAAAATAAAATAAATATGGTTGAATTTGCTTGCTGTTATTTTATTATTGATAATGTAGGGATAGTGACCAAATGGCAAGAAGATGTTTGCTGCAGAAAGCAGAAGACATAGAGTAAGCTCATTTCAGTTTGTATATTTAGTACAATGGCTGTTTTTGTACGTTTTGTATGCATTGAAGTGGTGGTTTGTGTGTTTTAGCATGACAATAAGTTTTACGTTAGTTAACTTAGTATGACAATGATTTTCTGTGTTTTCTATAGTAGTAAACTGGTGCTATGTGTGTTTTAGTATGACAATAAGTTTTATGTTATTTAACTTAGTATGACAATAAGTTTTATGTTAGTTAACTTAGTATGACAATGATTTTCTGTGTTTTCTATAGTAGTAAACTGTTGCTATGTATGTTTTAGTATGACAATAAGTTTTATGTTATTTAACTTAGTATGACAATAAGTTTCATGTTAGTATGACAATAATTTGTCAACTTAATGTTATATTAGCATAATGTGCTTCCATACATAGGTTTTTAAAGTTACTTAAATACGTAAAATATAAAACTAGTAAGTTAGTGAGTCTCTAAACAATGCTGCTGTACATAATGTCTAAATTATTTTAAACCCAATCAAAAGGGAAAATCAATGCCATCAAATTATTGTTTTCTATATTTGATGTAATGCAATGAAAAACATTTAGAATTAAAGTATTTATTACAATGTTACTGTCTGTACAGGTACTTTATCTTATTTTCATTATCTCACCACCAGAGGTCCATGGTTCACCGTGAGAATGTTACATTGTCAAAGAATAGGTTCGACAGAGCCTACAGAACCAGGTGTGATAAGTTATTTTATTATACAAGTAGTATTGTAAATATCTTTATGGAAACGAATTTCTATTTGTGTTTAATGCTAAACTATGACGTTTTACTTTTTTTATGTTAGATTACGCTTCCTAGTGGATCAGCGGTAAATCTATGGGCTTATGACACTAAAAATCAGGTTTCCATAGTTGTGGTGAGCAGTGCACAGATAACTCGTTGTGTAGCTTTGTGCTTAAAAACAACCAATAATATTATTGATTATATTAATAAGTAGATTATGTTATTGAAATTTTTCATTTATAAACCGCACCGTGTACAAGTCGCACCTTCTACAAGTCAACATTACGAAAAAATAAAAAATAAGCTCGTGCATAAACCGCAACTATAGCACAGCTATTGTCGAGTTACCGGTAGGCTTACCTGAAAACATTTCACACATATATTTCTCGTGCTCTGTTATAGCCGCTATTTCTTTCTAAAAAAACATTGTAAAATATAACGGGGAGGGAATAAATATTGTGATTTGTTTTTTTACAATTTTCCAACATTTTTTTTTAGCGATAACGGAAGACAACAATACATGTGCATGATACCAGAGGGCGGCTTCTGTCGCTTCGTGGTGACTCTTGGAAAAATTATCACCAGGGGAAATTTGGTGCTATCAGCTAAACAGGACAAGGCAACTTTGAAGCGTGTCTTCTAATTGCTGGTTGACATTACCTGGAGTTGTCGAAACGTACCAATGTTGCAAGCACACTTTTCATGTAATTTACCCGTAAAGTTATCAATAGCATAAAATTTGTAGCGCTTCTTCTGAAAAACAAATTCATGTATAAACTGCATGTTAAGGTTTTGCAGACAAGAAAAAATATATATATATCCTCCGGTGGGACAGCAGTAAGTCTACGGATTTACAATGCTGTATTCCGGGGTTCGATTCCACGCGGTGGACACAGCAGAGAGCCCAATTTTTCTTTTTCTAAAAAAAAAACAGAAAACAAACAGACAGACAAAATTCGTGTATAAACCGCATTTTTTAATTGGAAAATTGCGGTAAAACTTTTGAAGCGCCATCTTTTGGTTGCTTGAGAGGGCAAATAAAGATTTCGTTTCTTCAGAGAAGTTACAATGACAGATTAGAACTTGCTACTATATTGATTTATATCTGTTTACAAACATCTTTTGATACGCATATCAACAGTGTATTACTTCTCTTTTAATCGCCAGATTTGATCACCAAGTTATGGCGTTATGAAGAAAATTAATTATTGGTCTATATGTAATCGTTGACTAGGCAGTGGATTTTATGGTGGAGATGAAGAAGCGCAAACAAAACTATCCCAGATCATATCATATGTCAAGATGAAAGATTGCTAAGGTTAAATATACCACGTAAACAGTACAAACATGTTAAATATTGCCCTCCTTCCCGGTGGCTCAGCGGTAAGTCTGAAGGCTTATAATGCCAAAACTTGGTTTTCGATACCCGTGGTGGGCACAGCACAGATAGCACATTGTGTAGCTTTGCGCTTAACAACAAACAAAAGAAACATAAATAGTACTACTGAACACGCGCGCGCTCATACACACACATATATATACCTGTTTTAACCAGTCGCACCATTATACAGTAGTGTGTTGTCTGTCAGTCAGTCTGTAGACACTCAAATGACGTCACATAAGGGACGCTTAACGTTGCAATTTGTACTGTCGTTACATCAGTAAATCGTGCGCATGCCATGAATCACGAGAAGAATTATGTACTCTGTAGGCTACAACACAGCTTGACATATGAACTTCAAAAG